AGGAGGTTAAGTCGATTAGGAAGCAATATTTATTTCCGGTAAAATTAACAGCTTGTTTTAATTGATTTAGCAGCATTGACCTTGAACCAAATACTTAGATTCAGAGTCGATTGTTGAGTGATTATAGTATTGAACGATTCATGTTATTTGTTCAACATCTTTTCCAATGATTTCAAACATGAAAATAGATAAATGCATAAATATGATTTTGCACAATTCGATCGAGTTTGAATGAAATGGAATATGATTTGTGAAATTATGCATGCTATGGGATTTGTTTCCCCTAGTTTAATGGGATGAATTTTGTGATATATTCAAGTGTTAAATTTCACAGATGGCGGCATCTCTGAGCCTTCCGTTGATCGATCTTTCATCAACAGATCGAATCTCCACGGCTAATTCTATCCGGCAGGTTTTGTTTCTTTCATTAACTGAATATGCAATCCGTGACTTGTCTTTCTACAGTAGGACAACGTTGCAACTTGAAGGTGTCATTGTAAGGAACCGTAATCACACAGAATCTCAGTAGTAGGAAACTAGAAGACGGAAAAAACCACTTTTGTTATATGTGATTCTTGAATTCTGACAATTGCAAACATGACGAAACTTTAGCTTGTTCGAAGTACCATAAGAAAAGAGGATCCTGTCATCTCGACTGCCAATTGTTGTAAAGCATTTCTTCCCAAGTTGTGGACCTATTTCACACAAATTAGCTTCTATGTCCAGCAGTCATTTGGCAAACATATTTGATGCTTTAGTCTTCTGCAGCAGAACTTGAAAGAATTATTTGTCCCTTCAGTGTAGGCCCCTCGTTTTAGATGCAACAAGTCATTCCTAATTGTTTGAACAAGTTGGTTCTAGTGCAGAACATGCACCTTGTATGATATTAATTTTCCTTACCGGATGAACATGACAAAGGTCACAAATCTTACCCGGTAAGAGCAACGATAAAGATTGAAAGTCTTACGCGGTAGTGTGACGACTCTTACCCGGGTAAGTGCTTACCGGGTAAATTGTTGCATACATTACCATTTTGATGTACTACAATCTTACCCGGTAAAATAAATATAGTATTAGACTCCTAATGTTAAGCGCTTACCGGGTAAATTGTTGCATACAGTACCATTTTGATGTACTACGATCTTACCCGGTAAAATAAATATAGTATTAGACTCCTAATGTTAAGCGCTTACCGGGTAAGCATTTAGGTAAACGGCCGCTTAGTTTGTTAATACTAGCTTGCTAATGTTATTTGGAAATCTAATGAAGATGATCCATTCTTTCAGTGCACTTATTTTTTTGCATTTCTGAATGTCTTTCAATTAATTAGGCCAGCATGGACTATGGCTTTTTTTACCTCATCAATCATGGGGTAGATGAACAACTGTTGCAAAATGTGTTCGATGAAAGCAGAAAGTTTTTTTCGCTTCCACTTGAAGAGAAGATGAAATTGGCTCGCAAGGGAGACTTGGGCTTTGCACCAATGCGTGCTGAGAACCTTGATTCCTCTACGACTTCTAAAGGTGCTGTTACCCCACAACTGACTCTTCAGCATTTAATTAGTGTCAAGTGCTTTGATTATACTATTGACATGTTGCCTAATGTGCATCCAAACCTTGTATTCAATTTTAAAACAATTAAACTAGTCGAGAAAGTATAGCTTGTTAGTGGATATTTGAATGAGTCTGACGGAACATTACAATGGAAGTCTGAATCATCCAACTTCCTATTCTTGCATGATTCAACTACAGGGGATTCAAAAGAAACTTTCCATATCGGTCCTTCAGAAGATGATGAGAGACATATAAATCAATGGCCTTCTGAAGGTACTGACATTGTTATGCTTGTTATATTGTTTCTGGAGCTCCATTCTTGCTTACTATCTAAAAGGAAATTGCAGACGTATTACCTTCTTGGAGATTTGTAATGGAGAAGTACTACAAACAAGTATTGTAAGTGTTGTTGGTTTATTTATTCTGTGTCTATTTGGCAGCTTATATCTACATCTAGGGCCCTTCATTATCTTTAGAATTAGATGTGCGTCTTTGTAGATTTGAGCAAATATGTTTCTTTCTCTTTCCATCCAAGGATAATAGACATATAGTTTGACTTTTTAGGTCAAGCTTATTCCTTTTCAAAATAAAATTTGATTTGGATTCTTTTAATGTCCAATACCAGTATCTTTTTCATTTGTGATATCTTTTTTCCTCAACTTCATTGCAATTACCAATTGTTTGGAAAAAGCTTAATACTTATTTTTGAAGTTGATCATTAATTCATTTGAACTTGAAGGCTCTCACAATTCTCTCTTTCTAACACCAACAGTATATAAGAACCGAACCATCTCAAGGTCAAATTGTTCCTCTTTTTATAATTTGTTTATCTTTATCTTGCTTTAAGTAAGCAAGTCCTCTCGCTAATTGTTTTTTTGTTCAAGGAAGAGGGTAACATGATAACTTAGGTTTCCTTTCTAGGTACATTTTGTCAGGTGGGTCCTAAGATACGACCCTCTTCAATCTTAATCCTTAATCTAGGCATTTGAATTATACATGAGATTCTGATGGGGATGTCATTAACAGGTCTACCGGGAAACAGTTGAGCTCTTTGATTGCACTGGCTTTGAATTTGGATGAGAACTTCTTTGAGAAAGCAGGAGGGGCCTTAAATGGAGAGTCGGCTGTTCTACGATTGTTGCACTATCCAGGTGAATTATTGGCTTGCATGGCCAACCTTTTTACCTAATTAGAATTAGATCAGCACATAAAAGCGACATCATGAGTGTTTGAATCTAGGTGAAATGGGGGTTTCTGATGAGGTTGTATATGGTGCTTCTGCACACTCCGATTATGGAATGATCACTCTTCTGGCAACAGACGGCGTCCCTGGGCTCCAGGCAACTTTTATCAATATAAGCTTTGTTTCAACGTTAACCTTAATTGGATTTTCTGACTTAAATTTTAATCTTCTTTTTCCTGTGTTGACAGGTGTGCAGGGAAAAACTTAAGCAACCACGGATTTGGGAGGATGTTAATCATGTCAAGGGGTAAGTTTATGAATGAACACATGTATAATTCTAGGAAACTACAGTGGAAGGGATTTGTTGTACTTTGATACACTTATGTATATATTTGTCATAGCAATAATGTAAATAAATTTAGTTTGTCCAAGAATAAAATTCAACAATTTCCCTTGTGGCAAAGTTCCAACTAAAAATGACCACTTTGCCAATTAAAATTGGTTACAAAATATTGATAGCATAAGATCCCTCTGTGTTATCATAACTGATTAGTATTTTAGATGAGTGACTAATAGGCAATCATTTTCATTAAACTATGTGACAGATGATAGGTTGTTAAAAGTATTTGTTGTGGTAAAATATGGTGTTGCAGGGCCTTCATTGTTAATCTTGGCGACATGATGGAGAGATGGAGTAATTGTTTGTTCCGGTAAAATCCTGTTGATGAAAACACAATCTTTTATCTCCGTCCTGTCCTGTTGGGAATATCACAAAATTGAATCAAACCTATATTGCAGATCAACACTACACCGAGTCATGCCTACAGGAAAGGAGCGATATTCTGTAATTACTATTCCTAGTTACCAATCAATTTGATTTGATAATTATTCCCTTGGGTGGTTGTGTTGTAACTGTAGCCAACAAACGGATAATATGATATGATATTGGTGCAGATTGCTTTGTTTTTGGATCCTAACGAGGATTACATAGTGGAATGCTTGCCAAGCTGCTGCAGCGAATCGTCTCCTCCACGGTAAATGTTATGGACACTTATGGTTGGTCATAGTGATTTTCATGTGTCTAATGTGATTTTGTTATGGTTGGTGTGAAGGTTTCCTCCAATCCGCTGTGGAGACTACCTGAGAGACCGCATCGATGCTGCTTACTCAGGCTGATAATGGAAATAATGGTCTAATCAGGTTCTGGATACTTGTATTAAAACTATAATATTTGATATGTATTCTAAAAGCTATATATACATACATATATATATATATACACCTAAAGACGAAGGATCGTATGATAATAAGAGTTAAAGGTGAGAATTGTAAGAAGGGATTTGTTGGACCCTCGATCACTTTTAATAACAAACCAACCTATGAATTGTTGGTGATTTGTATCACTAATATCATTTAAGTGTAATGAGATTAATTTGTTGACCAATGTAATCATGATAAATATCGAACAAGTAAGGAAGGTGCGGACTGCACACTTGTTTGAGTTTATTTTGATTTAGGGGCGAAGCCCCTAAACGACGGGGCCTGGAGGCAGCGCCCCCAGTGGCGGGGTCCAAGGGGCGGAGCCCCTGCTTGGAAATTTTTTATTTGGGTAATATTGCTTTGTGGAAAATGCATCAGAAATCCGAATTTTAGATTTTAAACCCGGTTTTTTGGCCCGGTTTTTAAACCCGGTTTAGGGTGCAAACAACTGCTGTTTTGACAGTTTTCAGAATTTTCATTTTCGGTTGTGATAAACGACTTTCAGTGGATTCCAAGCAAAGTTTTCTAACATGAATTGCACTTTATAAGGGAATTGATCCGGTGTGTCTCATTAGTCTTGATCTAGTTTTTTTTTGTAATTAGAATTGATCCAAGGATGGATATCCCTTCTCATAGTAACCCAACCCTACACTTAAATTGAATATATGCCTAAAATTATAATTGAAATTGATTCGAGTGTTAAAAACCTTTGTACATTTGTCATAATTCAGTTAAAGATGGAGCCTCTGAAGCTCTGTTGTTTTTGTTTTGGTTAAGATTTGTCCGTAACTAGGTTTTGGGGTTTACATGTATAGATAGATGGATGAAAGAAGCACTATGACTTTTGCTTTCTGCATCCCATCCATCCATTCTTGTTTAATTTTATTAATCTATACTATATTACAAAATATTTCACAAAAACTTTTAAAACTCATCTTTTATACAAAAGTACTGCTTATTGCAATTTTTTTAGAAACATAATATATCTTAAATTAAAAACTAAAAACTAAAAAAATAACACTAACGGGACTCGAGGAGTCTAGGATGGAAGAAAAGTTTTGTAAACCAACTTTCTAATGAAGACTTGTGTCCTTATTGTAGTTTCAAAATAAAGTAAAGTTCACTTTTGGTCCTTAACGTATAACACCCCAAATATCGAAAGAGCGACTAAATTAAATTTCTCGTTGAAATACCAAAGTCAATACTGCTTCTCTCAAAATCTCTTTTGACTTATATACAAGAATACAATAACATCGAAGTCAACAACTAAAATCTAGATTTGAATGAAACTAGATTAAGTTTGATGTTACTGTAATCCTCACTAAAAGCCACTACCTCCGGGTACGAAAATGTCCCAAAGATCTAAGTCCTCTACGATTCTTAACTAGCACCTGACTTTGGTCAAGTGTTGCTAATATTGCTCTCACAAGGACCTGATGTAAAATGCTGGCAAATAAAAAGGGTTGGACTTAATGCCTAATGAGTTCAAGTAGTTTTCATCATAATTATAAAACGATAAACTAAAAGACTGTCTATTTAAATCATAATTTCTCAAATGAAATGTCTATATCATAAAAAGCAACATCTTTACAAAACCCATCATTTTCAAAAGAAAACTCTAAATCAAACATCCATTCAACATGAAGCCAAAACATAATACGCACACACGATGCGAATAAAGTTTAAAATTCAAATATTGAAAACATGGATAAAACTCTATTATTCAAAACATAAAAACATGGATAAGTTCCAAGATACCAAAACCATAAATTATGGATACACTCCATACCAACACAAAACAAAAAACATGTATAATGTACTATTCAAAAATTACACATTTCGGTGACGGGGAACCCATAACTATCGAATGTGGCGAATACAAAAGTAAGCCATATATATATATATATATATATATATA